AAAAAAAAAAAAAAAAATCAAAACTAAAAACGGATTTTGAGAATCCGTTTTTCAATTAAAAATTTAATTAGAAAAACCGATTCTGAAAATCCGGCTGTTTGACCCATTTCCACAACTTTTTGTTTTTTGTTTTTTTCCACAGATTTTTGCTTTTTTTTATATATATAATGCACCCCTCTTTGGAACTCACACATAGGATCGAGATGGCGATAGTGATATTATTGGGATCGATTTTTTATTTCACAAAAATTAGGTTAAAGTTGCCTTTCTATCTATTTTTTCTAAAAAATATAAATGTCAATTTATTGCATTTATTAGGTTTGGCTGACATAAGATGTTACTGTTTCTATTTTTACTTTTGAGTTACATCTATTGTTAATGTAATAATGTTCCCCACATTTTTTTTGCACCTCTTTTTCTCCTTATTTTCTAGTCTTATCCATAGTTTTTAAACCCGGCCCGGGAATCGACCCGGGCAGGTCTCCGGGTCACCGGGTCACCAGTTCAACCGCCGGGTCACCGAGTCAATTGTTGAACCGGATAATTAATTTTAAATTTTTTAAAATTATATATAGAGTATTTTGTCTTATAAATATACATAAAAATAACAAAATTAAATATTTTGTATATAAAATTTGCACATTAAAGTGCTAATAATATGTATTTCATGATAAATATTTACCATATAAATATATATAAATAGTTTTATTTTTTAAAAACAAAAAATATATTAAAAAATAAAAAAAAAATAAAAAATATATATAGGACTGGGTCAACCGGGTTGACCCAGCCGGGTCAATGCCCCGAGTCGACCGGGTCAATGCCGGGTTGACCAGGTTTTGACTGGGTTTGACCGAGTCCGTTGTTTCCCGGTCCAAATAGTCCACCCGGACCGGTTCCAACTCCGGGTCGACCGAGTCCCGGGTCGACCCGCCGGGCCGGTCCGGGTTAAAAAACACTGGTCTTATCTGTACCACGAAAATAGTTGCATCTCTACAAAGGTTAGCAATGTTGATTAATTTAACACTTGTAATTTGTAGTTTCTCTTGAGAAATTTCTATCTTATCTTGCAAAGTGTGTTGTTATTTTGTATTTTAGTTATTTAGTCCTGTTGATTGTCTGTTGTAATTTCTCAAAGGGAGGATCAATCTATGTGTTAGAAACCGTTAGGCCTCGTTTACTTCGCTTGACAGGATAGAATAAGTAAAAATATTCCTTTGTATCTAATGTTTACATTAAAGGATTGGGACAATATTTAAGTGACGTGGCACACATGTGGCGCGGGTCCCACACACATATCAACCAATTCCCGATTAATTCTGTCCCAGGGTGACCCCCGGATATTTTTATCCCGACTTTTAGCTGATCATTTTGTCCTCAAATTTGCTTGTACAAAGACTTAAATACCCTTGAACATCCATTTAATTACAACAACAACCATTTAAATATTGAAAACTCAGGGCGTGCTTGTTTATGAAATATTTCATTCAAAATGAGTTATTTTAGTTAACTAGAGTTAATTTTGAAAAAGGTAGTATGGTTAATTGTTAGTGGGATATAAATGATTGGAAATGATTATTAATGATTTGATGTAAAAGTAGGATATAAATGATTGGAAATGATTGGAAATGATAGGTAGTTAAAATTATGTGAGTGGATGAATAGTGAATTAAAGTTGATGTGATATGTAAGAATGATTGGTTTATAATATTTAATTATATAAATAATATAAATGATAGTGGGGTTGAGTTAAAGTTGAATTAGATTTTGAGTGGGAAATGAATTATTTTATAAACAAGCATGCCCTCACTTGCCCTAGTCTGTGTTGAGTTCGAAATTGAAGACAGGGGTGGAGCTCATCGAAGATTCCGTCGGCAAGGTAAGCTCATCAATTATTCATTTTTATGCCATTTGTTTACAGACACTCTACTACGAAATTTCTACTATTTGTTCACACAACTACAAAATTTCTCTATTTTTCCTCTGTTTTTGTATTTTTCGGATCCTCACCTGATTGTTAAGCGCGGCGGAAAGTAGGGTTTTCTCCTCGGCGGCGATGGTTTTTTCCAACGTTACGAGGATGAAGTCCTTATGCGAGGTCAAGTTCCGGTGGCCGTCATTAATAGACTCGGCTAAGGTGGAGAAGCAGAGGTCGGGATAGCGCCTGGTGGAGTAGTGGGATTTTGCTAACACGAACGCGTGAAATGTTTTGATGCTTACCAGCCGGTCGGGGTTTTCTCGATTTGATCGGACTCCAGCGTAGAATTAGGGCTCCCCATTGAAGAAAAAAAAACGAGATGCGAGACAATTAAATCGGGGAAAGAACAAAATTGTACAGAAGGGTAAAGTGGTATTTTATTGTGTTATCATCTTATTTAATTCGTTTCTCAAAATTTCATCCCACAAAGTAAATTAAACAGAGGATTAATTGCTGACGTGTAAAGTTGCCCTGATTATTTTAGTTTATCCCATCACAGAAAGTAAATGAGGCCTTAGAATACTATTTTTTCCCTCACAAATATACATTTATTCATAAAAAATTACGATACATTAAAAAATAACAAAAAAAATGTAATTTTTATTATATACGTATGTATTTTATTCACATATACAGTATAACGAGTTGAACCACCTAACGATTAAGATCTGTCACGAAAGAATTAGTGATCTTATAATAGTTCACTAAGAAAGGAATTCTATTGGGAATGAAGTCCACCATATAGAAGTGTACGGCCATGGTACAAACAACAAATTACTAAACCATCACAATTTTTGTTTGTCTCAAAGAGATAATTGAGAGAATGAGACATTTTTTGCACTGAACTTGTAGGGTATGTATGAATCACCACTTGAATATAACTGCAAAAATTTTTTGGGGACCAATTAAGCATTTTGGTACATTCTTTACAGTTAACACATTTCTACTTTGAGACATCGGCATCCGAAGATAAATGGAGTTTGATAAAATCTATTCAAAGTTTCTTTTAGAGTTTATGTTATGTACTTATATTCTACCAAAACATGAATTGAGAGCAATTTGATTCATGAAACAGTTGATATTCGAACGTTTCATTGGCCAACATGACTATGTAAACGTTAACATTAGAGTGTTTGGAATTTAAAAGGAATAGCTAATAAAATTTCGATAAAACTAAAAACGATATGACTGTTGTTCGACAGAGCCAACTATTAAATGACATACTTTTCAATAAATTTACATAATTTTATAATAAAATGGCATGCATTAATAAAACTACATCTTTTAATTTCAATGAGAATATGACATTTCATATTTCACAGTATCAATAGATATTTTATTAAAAAAAATAAAATAAAATACATTATAATGATTGAATAGGCTAGTAGAAATAAGTGAGCCAAAATACTTAAATGGATAAAATAAAGAATTGAAATACTTGACATAGGCCTGCACCAATCTTACAAATGGGCTTAAGCTAGGACATTGGGTTTTGAGTGTGTAGACATCAAGATTTTAATATTTTTTTAATTAATATTTTTATTTATTTTAGGATATAATTTAAGATAAATAAAATATTTAATTAATAAAGTAAATATCTATTGTCTAAAAAGTCAAATCTTATGATGAAGACAAATTTTAGGATAAGAAAATAGATTATATTAAACTGACGTCTTCTTCTTCAAAGCCACAAACACTTCTTAAATCAACATAGGTGGCCAGAGTGGAGTCTAGAACTCTCGTATATATAATTATTTTATATCCAGACATCAATTTGATTCGTCCTTCATGATTTGATATAATCTCTTTTCTTATTTTAAGATTTGTCCTCATCATAAGATTTGACTTAGTAAACAAGAAATATTTACTTTATTAATTAAATATCTTATTTATCATGAATAATTGTCTTAAAATAAATAAAAATATTAATTAATAAAACATTAAAATTTTGATGTGTACGTAATGTGTAGCTACATATTGGGCCCTTCCCTCAAAAAATAAGTTTTAGTCCTGTCCTGAATTTTTTATGATTGTTGATAGTCCTTTTCCATTTTTCATTAAATACAACTACTGTACTGACATAAATAATTAGGTGTGTAGTAATATTTATGCTAATAAATTAAGTGATGTATTATTGGAAACTGATTAAATAATATTTTATATTGTTTTTCAACTATTAGGTCATCTCCAACCGACTTTTACAACGCCAAATATATTCAGTTAACCATTAACACTACAAAAAAATTGTTATATTCCAACGAAAAATCCTATAATAATATATTCCAATGGAAATTCCAACGGATATTCCAATGGTATATCTTCCGTTGGAATCATTCCAACGAAAATTTCAACGAAAATATTTCGTTGGAATGTATTTCTCATTGAAATTTTAGATGGAATTTGTTGATTCCAACGGCTATATTTTCAACGGCTTTTGACCGTAGAAATTTCCGTTGGAATATACAATTTTCGTTGGAATTTTTATTTCCACCACCGTTGGAATCGTCAAAATCCAACGGAAATTCCAATGGAAAACTCACTCCAACGGAATATTTTTGTTGGAATTTTCGTTGGAATTATTCCAACGGAAATAATAGCATTGAAATATCCATTGGAATTGCCGTTAGAATTCTATTGGAGTATATTTCTGTTAGAATTTCATCATTTTCTTGTAGTGTAAACTATTGTAAATTTCTATTCAGATCAACCTGACTAACGTAGAGTCATTGTTCACATAAAAAAAGAAAGACAAATTCTATTTTCAAGAAGAAGAAAGATAAAGATATGAGACATATCTCTCAAATTAATGATAAATTCACAAAGAAAATAATAATAATAATTTTCACTAAAGCTTTACACTGCCTCATGATTTCCAATGCTACTACCGTGCGCCAAGGTGTGCCATGGCAATTTAAAATGAACATGTTATGTTATAAATGTTTGCACATGTTCATTTTGTAACATAACATGTTCATTTTAAACTGCCCTTACGCACCTAAGTATTTGCGCATGATTTCAACCACCATATTAGCTTTGACAACTTGGAGCCAATGGATGATTACAATAGATGCTAAAAGAGTGAGTGAATTGTCTTTACAACATGTCCCTATAAAAATTGAGGTATTACTTATTAGGCATTGCCTCGATAAATTCTCTAGTCTTTTCCACTCTTTATCCTGTAAAGTGAACACAAAATCTAGAACCCTAGATTCTCCAACTGTAGGATTAATATTTTCTTAAGCTAAGAAATAATAAAAAGGAATAGAACAAGTGCAAGATAACATGCATTTGTCCCCAAAAAGTAGACTAATTTTATGTCATGGAGTCCCTTCCTTTGTTCACTTCTTTGTTTCAATAACATATATATAGTTTGGCCCTTCTCTTCAACATTGTACATTTCGACAAATCTTACAATTGAATCCGAAATATAATTAGCACAACTTCCATATATTATGTTTTGTGCAATAAATTAATTGTTCAATTACAATTACATCATTTAATCATACAAATGCTACAAATATCTTGCATTAGAAAAGGCTGAAATGTCGACCAGCCACGTGTCAAGTCTCGTGATTTTTGAACATAAATCCATCGTGGGCAACAGAATATTACCAAAAAAAAATAAAAATAAAAAAAGGTAACACACAACACATTCAAGTTTCACTTTGGCATCAAAACAAGTACTTAAATCATGTACTTCCAACATAATTGGACATCATCTTTAAACTCACACCACAACTAGAAAAGCAAAGCACCTAATTAATACCTTCTTACAAATAATCCTTCAAAAAAGTTGGTCACATCATCCAAGTAACATTCTGAATAATCATTACCATCTTAATAAAACATATCAAATGCTCCCTCCAATATATCAGTTTGAACAAAAGATCCTCATGTTAATCTTGTTCAAACCTTTCCACATGTTTCACTTTCACACACTTTTATCAACCTCAGGGACATAATCATGATTATCCCTCTAATTACATAAATAATTAATTTTTCATACTCACATTCTACTTCAAATGTGTGGAAAACACACACATACCAAGAAAAAAAATGACTAAGAAGCTCCAAAAGGTATCATCATCATCATGCAAAGCATTTTGCTGTGGAGTTTGTAGGCTCAGTGTTTCTTCACAAGAATCCGAAATCTTGGATCAAAACTCGGAGAAGTTTTACGGTATTTCGAGAATTGCACACGCTATGGTACAAGAGAGGCTCGACCAGATGATCAGAGAAAGAGAAGAAGAAAGAAAACGAGAGAGGACTGTCGGGCGATCAAGACGTGAGAATATTGCTACTAAATTTGTGGTGATGGTGGCCATGGAGAGAACATCGTTCGATCCAAGGGAGGATTTTAGGGAATCGATGGTGGAAATGATAGTCTCGAGCAAGATTTACGAGTCCAAGGATTTGAGACGGCTCTTGAATTACTATCTCGATATGAATTCGGAGGAGTCGCGCGGGATCATACTCGAGGTATTTCATGAGGTTTGTACCGATTTGTTTTTGTACGGTAAACGACATTGATTTTTTTTTTTTTTTTTTGNTTTTTTTTTTTTTTTGGTTTTTTGCAGTATATATTCTTGATATCTTGTGGAGGACTAAAAGTAGTACTAGTGTAGCATTTTAGTAGAACATCTCTTAGGTTGTTTCTTGCTAGTAGTAGTGTGTCTGTAGCTCTGCTATTTTCTTTCCAGGAAAAAAACTAAAAATTGATTGGTAAACTACAATAGTTGGCTGCCCAGAAATTCCAAGCTAAACTCGATTTGATGTCTAAAAATTGCATGAACAAAATATAATAAGAGGTGCAAAAAAATCTAGAAGAAGTGATTCTCATCTTATTTCAGTAATAACAAGAGAAGCACAACTTTTCAAAGCTTGCAGAAACTTTGAGTGTTCTCTTTTTCACTTACTAAACCATTACATCTGTACTCAAATCCCTTACATTATAGGCTTAAGCAAATAAGCAACACTAATTAGATGGATTTCACACCTGTGGTGAGGAAAACAAGTTGGAAAAATATGAATCAGTGCATAAATCAAGAGAGGTTTCAAACTAGCCCTTATAAAATTATCATACATTTATGAGAAAAGAAGTATTTGACATATTGGCACTAACCATACATACACAGAGAAACCCATTTCCTTGTTTTCCAAACTCGATTTCTGGTCGATAACTTAAAATTTTTTATTCATTACATACATTTTTTCGTGTAAGTATTACACATATATATATCTCTAAGTAGTCAAAAGGGGGCAGCCCTCTTTGACGAGCACGAATATACTGCCCCCATCTCCTCTGGAAATGCGAAGTTCATTGTCGAGGTAAGTAGTGAGGAGCCATGAGTTTGCATAGTTACTGGAGATGGAGAATTTGATTGGCGGACGGCTAGAGATGGTCCTGGCTACAGACGAGGCTGTGTCCTGTACAGAGGTCAGCAGACCTTTGAAGGGCGAGAGATCAATCTTTTGCCCGAGAAATTCCACGTTTTCGGGCAGCTCTATGGAGTCAGTCAATTGTGGGGTCCCAATCACACCTTCTTCAAACTTAATCTGCAACAATTTTTTTTCCATGAGTCTATGCTATAATCCTTATGTTATTCCCAAATCCAGAGTTTTAGTTCTTGATTTTACATATACGCTTCTTTAATTCTTACAACTTACAGATTTAATTTGTGAGCAATGTAATACAAACTAATACAAATCATTTCTTATAAAAGCAAAAGTATGTTCTGTGAAAATTCGCAAAGTGTCCATGGAGTTTCTGGGGAAAGAACTAATAGTACAAGTAGAATAAAGAAAAAAACCTGCACACGTTTGGGACTCCGAACTTCGAATTTAGCATTGGTGGAAATTGCAGTGGTTGCCAATGGCCCGGAAAACAGGACCGAGTTCTGGACAGTGAAATTTTCGGAGTCAATAGTCTGAGATATCTCCTCAAGTTTCACCAGAGGTAGACCGGCACCCCTTGACAACAATGGGAACAAACCCGCAAATGATGTGTACCTGCAGTGCTTGATTGGAATACCAAATGAACAATCAATGGATAGTTGCATATTGAGATTTTGGCATTCGCCTGGTATTTATCACAAGTTTTTCGAGAAATGAAAAGAATAACACCCACGATAGAGTTAGATTACTTCCAATTCTCACATGAGTTATCATCCAAAAGCATTACTGCCTAATTTGATGAATAACATATTCGTAAACTAGACCCAAATATTAATCAACTACGAACAGACAAGCTCCAGTCCATCATCATCATAGCAAGAATAGTACAATTTTCCACATAAAAATAGTACAATACAATCGATTCATGGAAATATCGTAGTTTTTAATTCATAGTCCTAATCTATATGAGTACAAAGCATCAAAGTCACATGGAGCTAACTAGTCATCAGTCATCACCTTCCCTATCCTATCCTGCTTGAACAAGCTTCCAGATCACTCAGAAACATTCAGGTTTTCCCCAGCAAGAAACATTTCTCTACAATATTCATGTCTCTTATAACCAGAAACAATTTTCATGTAAAACATTGAACAAATAAGATACAGCCAGATACTTGTTAAATCTTCACAACAGGCAACAACACCACCAGCCACACAGTTGACAGTACTGATAAATAATAACAGCAAATATTGGCCTCCACACAACAGAAAACAAGCAAAATCACTGACCTTGTGAAATCCAAAAGAAAAGGGGTGGAAAAATCAAGCCGAACTTACGCGAGAATCCATTTCCCGTTGAGCAACGACAGAGCTTCAGTCGGCGCCGGCGTCGGATTCTTTGCCTCGAGCTGCGTAATGAGCTCCACGATCTCCGCCCTCGTCTCGCTGGAGGCGCTCAGCCCCCTGTTCGTCCCGTAGAACGAGCCCACCAGCTGCTTCTTCAGCACATCGATCTCCGATAGTTTCTCCTCCAGAACCGCCACCGACGGATCGGACTTCGGCTCAGGACCCCACTCGTCTTCGATCACCGCTGCCCGGACGGAGACACTCTGCTTCGGCCTAGTTGACTCGGAAATCGAAAGAGGCGCCAAATTAACCCGATTAACCGGATGAAGAGCGGAGATCGGTAAGGACGCCGATCTTCGAGATGAACTCCCGAAGGTATTCAATGGAAGCTGGAATACGGAAACGATGGACGCCATTTTTGTGGAGGTTTTTTGGTTTGTGGGACTCAGACGATAGAAGAGAGTTGAAAAACTGTGAATTGTTTAGTTGGGCCGGGTTTATATAACTCGATAAGGATATGAACCGGTTGTTCAAATGACGGTATTGCCCTTGCGTGTGAGGTGTCGTGTAACTATTGTGTTCGTGAATGAAACAAACATTTTGTGTGGGCCCGTTGGGAAAGATTGAGCTAAGACATTGAATTTGTTGAGCATCACAAATAACATCATACTTCATCCTAGTAGTTGATTTTCTAGAATATTCTCTAGTATCCTAGTTCTATTTTGATCTTTTCTTTAATCATCAATATATATAGTATATAAAGATGGACAAAGAATTTAATATAAAAAAACATTTCCCACTCTTTTAGGAGTAAATATGACAAAAATCATTACATTTTATATCAAATGAGTGACAATTTTTTAACTATTCTATCATGTAATAGTTACACCAAATGATATATTGAAAATTACATAACTTATATTGATTTTTTTTTAATTGTGTGGATGCGGTTTGGAAGAGGAGAAAGTGAAATCCACCGAAAACACTCCTAGATAAATTTATCTATCATGTCCCAATAATAGTTTTGATTTGTAGATAACTTATAACCTTTTGTCAAGAATTGGACAAGTTACAAGGTTTTAAGGATTTGGCATGTGATTGATGTAAAAGTCTCTAAATATCTAATAACTTTTAATTCTACAAAACTATTCAGAAATTTAAATTAAATAGACGGATTTTTAAGACTCAAGATTTTTTTATTTTTTTTTTTTCTGAAAAAAACCTCGATGAAACATATTTTTAAACATTTTTCTTTATTTTCACGTGATCGTTCTCACTAAAATCCATACCATTGTAAAAATCAGACACAAGAACACGATCATGTGATGTCTCCAATAAAAGAATATGTACCAAACAAAACTCCCTGTGATAAAAGTGCCTGTGCATTTTCAACCATGCACTTAAAAGCGAGTTACGAAGCGAATTAGGTGAGGATTTAATATAAATAAAACCAGTTTTTATTGGATTTATGAGTTAACATGAGTCGTTTTTAATTGAATGGATGATGAATATAATTTTTAAATTATATTTAAAGTTGATGTGATGTGAAAATAGAAGAGAATTATTGAAAGTGATTGATAGTTAATTAAAAATATGTAATTGGATGAATAGTGAATTAAAATTGATATGGTATGTAAGGATGATTGATTATAAGTATTATTTAATTATACTGATAATATTGAGAAGAATTTGATTAGATTCAAATTATTTTAAATTTTAAATTAAAAAATGTAAAAACTATTTAATCAGTCAAAATTGACTTTAATACGTAGTCAATCACTCTTACTCCTTCATATATTCAATTGAAACTTTTATATACTTTTTTTTTTTTTGAAGTAATTGGCTTTAGTAGAATTGGTGAAAACTTTCATCTATGTATTTTTTTTATAACTTATTGAGACTATTAATTGGTAGTGAGCTTGATAAATTTGTTTTCCGTCAATATCCACTGCACCCAATCCATTAAAATCAATTATGATGTTTGGAGCAAGTAGAAATCAAGCCCATTTACTTAAAATAGACTATTTGCTTCCAACATGTGCCTATGTAATAAATGTTCTCCATTTTTGCCTTAGAATAACCTACCTCCCATTGTCTCTCCAAATATCTCCCGTAATAATTTTTTTTTTCATAGTATAAAATTATAAATTGGGAAAGTCTTTATCACATCTATATTTTGAAGTTTTCCCCAAAATCAAATCTATTGTTCTTCTTCCTAGATCTAATTGATTTTAGAGAATATCAATTGATATGGCGTCCAGCCAAAAGGGTGGGATGTCAATATAAAAATTGAACTCATAGTCAACTGGATCTTAACAATTTAAAGGCCCTCAAACATCCAACCAAACACGATACAGGAATGAAAATAATACTAGTTTACTTGATTAGATATGAGTTTGATTTGATTTTGATTTTGTTGATCACAATTAATTTTAAAAAATGTGATATAGTTAGTTGTTAGTTATTTTTAATTTATATTAAATAATATTTAATATAAAATAATTAAAATTGATTTGATGTACAAGTAAGAAAAAAACAACGTGAAATGATGGCTAGTAAGATTATATAAATAGATGAATAATGAATCTATCTATATATAAAAAGATTTACTATTTACCATAAATAGTAAGAAGAGAAAGTCAACACATATTAATTACATATTATATTTCAACTAATTTTTTTTTATGTTTTAATTCACTTCCCAAAAAATCGGTTGGCCTTCAATCGGTTATTTTTTAGCTTTTTTTTATTTCATGTTTTAATTGACTTCCCAAAAAATTGGTTATTGTATATCTAATTTACAGGCACGCATAATATATGAATTTTTAGATCAAAACATAATCTACTTTAGATTATATATCATATCTTACTTTATATAATTAAATATTAAAAATGGGTCATATTATAAAATCAGGCATAAACTTTATGTCTTCTCCTTTTTTATTCAAAACAACTAATTGCAAATAAAATCGAATGCAATATTTAATTGATAATTTAAAATTCTAAATTCCTTGCCACTCGATTGCCATAAAATCGAATAATAAATAATCGCATATAATAGATGTAAAATATGACTCATGTACAATTTGAATTGGAAAAAATCAAATCACATATCTTTATATAATTGAACAACCTAAAATTAAGGATTTTTTTTCAAATTCCGACAGATCTTGAATTCAATATCAAATCAACTTCATAGTTTCACATAGTTCGGACTCTTTTGAAGTATTCCAAAAATTCATATATCTCTAAATTTTAATTTCAAATTTCAAATAACTGTTTACTATTATCTTGGAAATAGATAGAATATCCTTTTTTATAAGGAGTCTTTCTAAAGAAGAATTTGATTTACTTCATTCTCTTTGTCATAATTGATGAATTTTTCATGCTATTTTTTTTAATAGATACAAGATGAATTTGCTCATCTCGGACTCTATTGCAAATGCCACTATTGTTCTTTGGGACAAAGAATCAGAGATCATAATTGGAAAATCATGCCATCCTTTTATGACAACATGTTCAATAATTTATAGATACTTATATGTCATTTTATTAATATTTATGTAAATAAAATAATATTTTATTAATATACAGTAAATATAATTTTTTTAGAATCGGACCCTCATCAAAACAATCAAAGTTATTTTATTATATCATTTGTGGTTTGTTTAGATTTTAATTTATAAACATTTTAATATTTTATAATTACTTAAATATTTAAACAATTTATAAATTCAAATGTTTAAACTAATTGATAAAAAGTTTATAAATCTCTATTTTATTTAAATATGTAATTTTATTTAAAATAATTTTAAATGTAGCAAAATCTATTTAGAAAATTGTATCGATCCTACCAGTCCAACCGATCGGTGTTGAAGGATTCGATAGCAAATATTTTATTCAAGCGAACTAGACTGGTTATAAATCGGTTCCCGGTCCATCCAGTCGGACTGTGTCCAACCCAGTTTAATTTAAAAATAATAGGTAACTCATGATTAATGTTTCTTATATATTTAGTTTATAATACAATCGTAATGTTGTTGGTTCGTGCATCGCACGGGCCATGCACTAGTTAAAATTAATATGATATGTAAGAATTATCAATTGATATAACTTATTTTATTTTTCCAAGATGGATACATATCCAATTATATCCTAAGGTAATACTTTACAGTGGTAAAGGAGCAAGTATCAAGTATAAAACTATAAATATTCGAATAATACTAAGCCCATGTTTGTTATTTGGGATGGAATTGTACTAAAATAATCTAAAGTCCATAACCAAACTCTAACTCGGATCGAACCCAAGCTCAACTCAGGTCGGCTAACCCAAAATCAACTCAGGTCAGCGAACCCAAAATCAACTCAGGTCGGACCCAAAGTCAACTCGGGTCGGCTAGTTAGTCTAGTCAAACTAGGTCTCGGCACAACGCTGCAGTCCCGATTAGATGATAAATCAATTAAATATTTTACATCCTACAAAACAACACAAAACTTGCAGAACCAAATAAAAAATCACCATACCTGTACAGTGATAACCCTTGTCCAAAACCAGTAAAAGTAATGTGCAACAAACCATTAGAAAGTAGAACCACAAGCCAAATCTCATAACTTGCTCAAGATCAAAATGCAAGAACTTTGTTCAGTTCCTCTGGAACTCATGGTACAATATATGATAAGAATCATAAACCAAAAACCATCCCAAAAATNCAATCAAAACTCAAATGGCTACTCAACCAATAATCTTTTATTTTTACTACTTCTGTTAATTTAATCATCACCTTTCTCGATCACAACAACACCCAAACAACCTTCGACCTCACCACCCTCAACAACCCCTTCTTCCCCACCACCTTCATTCGAACAGTGATTCTTCAAAACCGTCGATATATCCTCCTCCGATGCCCCCGCAAGCTTAAACCTCTCGACAGCATCATCAAGATTCTTCTTCCACCCACTCAAACCCATCTTACACTCAATCTGTGACCTCTCGAACAGCATGTTCCCCCAAAACAAATGAATCTGAGTCCTCATCACCGCCACCTGTTCAGCCGCCTCCTCCGGCGAGACCTCCGTGGGGCCCACCCCCGTCCCCTCCCCTTGCTTCTTTCTCCTCTTCGAAATCTCCTCCTTTTTCGGCTCGTTTTTCGCCCTCTGCTCCTCGGCCCTCTCCCACATCTCCGTAGCCGCCTTCATTTTCTCCTCAGCACTGTCGAAAAGCCCGATCGTCTCGGACGGGTCCCACATCGAAAGATCCGATTTTTTCGCCTGAACAAACGACCAGTGGAGCTTCGCCATCTCGAACTGCTGCTGGCCGAGGGCAAGCAAACCCTCGTAAAAATCGGGCTTTATCGTTAAAGCCTCCTCGTACTTTTCTCTAGCTAAAGTGTACTTTTCCTTCACCCAATCGTACGCGACCTGGAGTTGCCCATTTACGACCTCTTTCCGGGCCGACTCGTCGATCGGCATTCGTTTTCGGGCCGCACACATGTGAACGTTACCCCAGTTGAAAAAGGCCAGAGCCGCGACTTCTTGGAATTTCGAGGCCGCTTTGTCGAAAAGAGCTTGGGCTTCTTCGCTCGTGACTGTCTCCTCAAGGGCCTCCGAGCAAAGCTCCATGCCAACTTCATGGAGGTCAA